AAATATATATATCTCCGATATAAGTGTATATTGTAACGTCTATAGTATTGAAATTGAGTAAAAAATTGGAATGAAATGAAAAAATATTTTGTAATAAATTTTATTTTTTAGTAGAATTAACTTATGAGTAAATTTGGTGATTAGGAGAATAATTAAATATTTTATAATAAGTTTAATTGTGTAGTAGAATATATTAAATAATAAATCAAGGGATTATGAGAATAATTGATTTAATATTTACAAAATCAAATTTAAAACATTAATCTTTTACATTCAAATAAAAGATTAATTATAATAAATACAAGTGTCTGAGAAAATTTATTATTTAGAAAATATTTTAAATAAAAAAATCTAACACAGTAAAATCGATAAAACATATAAACATTTGACGTTTGTGAAAAAAAAATTTAAAAACAGGTCATGAATTTAAAAAACACAAATTTTGGTCCAAAACCCGGTCCTTTTTTTTAATGTCGGTCCAAACTCCGAAGTCCAAATCCCGACGGTTGGTATTCTCTGCTCTCTCTTTCCAACTAATTATTACTTTTTTCTTCTTCTCCATTTTCTCTCTCCAATAATTATTTTTTATTTTTCCGTATTCTTATTTTTTTCCTCGCCTTTTCTATTTCCAAATAACGATTTTTTCTTTTCTTTTCCTCGGACTTTTTATTCTTCCCTCCCTCCATTTTCTTTCTCATATAAATAATGGTTCTCTCTACCATTAATATTTTTTCTCTCCAATTAATATTTTTTCTCCTTTTATTTGTTGGATTAAAATCTTTTTCTTTTTCTCTCTCAATTTCTCTCTCATTAATTTTTTCCTTTATTTTCCTAATCCCAATTTTGTTAATGTATTTGAGGGCAAGATAGAATAAGTGATTTTTAAAAAAGAAGAGATTTAATTTAATTTGATTTTAAACTTCCATAAAATCAAAATTTTAATTTATCAAATGTTATCCATAAAAAAATAATTTTGACAATAATAAAAATAATTTTAATCATGTTAAAATTACTCTCAAACATACTCAAAATCTTCTAGAACCATAAGACTTGAGTGCTGATTTGATTTTTTTTCTTGAACAAATAATCGAATTCAATATGCTATGAATCGAAAATTTTGACTTTCTCATAATTAATCCTATTTTGTAGTGAATTAATTTTATTTGTTATTTTATCTCTTGGTTTTTTACATTTATTAATTACAAAAATATCAAATACTATGTCTACATTAATATTTTGCCTGCTATATAGTATATAGGTGTTATAGTCTAATAGACAATTGTCTCCTAAGATGAGATACTTCATCCCAAACACTGGTATTTCATCCTAAATAGCAGCTACAATTGACCATGATACTTTTATTTTAGGGTGCGTTTGGTGGGGGATCAGAAAATAAAAATTTGAAAATAAATGATTTAATGAAAAACATAATTGTATTCTTTCTGTATTTTCAGATATTTATTTGATATCTGATTTAGAGTAATTGAATTTCAATTTAAAAAATTGTTAAACGTGTGTAGTATGAAAGGAAAAATCCTTCGCTCATCGTCATCATAGCGAGACACTGAAATCGGTGGGAAGAGATAGATTTTTGGTAAGAGAAAAGTGAATTTGGGTAGAAGCAAGAGAGGGGATGTTGGGTAGTGAGTAAAGTAGAGGAAGATAATTTAAATGGAGTTTTATATATTGACTGTTATGTTAAATATTTCCAAATCAATTTAAATTATAATACCTTGTTTTCAAATTACCTTTAGTTAATATCAATTAATTAATGTAATTTATTTTGTATTTGAATAATTATACTTAATGTGATTCAATCGTGTACATCTGTTTTAAATATCAAAGTATTTTCAATTTTTTCCAAAATAGCTTCCAATCAATAATCATTATTTACGATGAAATTCTCCATGACATTTTACTTTTATTGACTGATTTTTTTTTCTCGGGTCTTTTTTTTTATAGTATCATAAAATAATCCTCCAAAATAATATTTCCATATTTTAGTTTTTTTTAAGTACTCCACGTTTTAATTATATTATTCCCTTGTCCTTGACCATTATATAATATATTTTTCAAATAAATATATGCCCCTTCATTTTTCATTGCAAAATACTATTATATAATATATAAAAAGATAATATATACTCCAATGTGTTATATAATATATGGTATATACATGATGAGATTAGTACACTAATGGACTATTTAGAGACTATAATTCAAGGTAAAAAATTGGTTATTTGGAATGTTATATTTTAAATCCCTTATTTTATTTTATGCCTGATTAGACTTTCAAAAAACAAAAGTTATCAAATCCCAAAATCTTCCATTATTGCAAATTTTCGATCTATTCATTTGTCGTGGGTTGTCAACGGATTTTGCAAAGGAAACCACACTGCCACAGTTCGCCAGATTTGAGTGGTGCGAAAGTTAGGTGTGAATTCTTCTACAAGTACTAAGAGCACTACACTATATAATATGAGATTGATACTTCAATAGTTAAAGATTATATCCAGATATATTTTATATCTATTATTAAATACCAAATTGCAATATAGAATAATCCAGTTGGGTTGCTTTTTGTCGCTGCTAAAAACTTTTGATGTTATACTTCCTACTATCATTAAATTGGTGGTATATTTTTCAACTATTTTAAATTTGAAATCATGGTAAAAATCTACCTATTAATTAATTTATAAATGGAGATCATGATAATATTTTTTAATTAATACAGGCTATCCATTTACTAATATCAATTAATGAAAAAATTGGCACGAGTCTCACAATAATTTAAAATTATGTGTGCAAACTTAAGGATTTAAATCTTTTAGATTAAAAAAAACAATAAATGAGGGTAAATCGATATTATAAAAAAACCGTATAAAATTGGAAAAATTTAGACATTTATGAAAATAAGTTATTGGGCCTTCCCTGCGCAGCTTAGGTGGAGGGCGAAGAATGCTCCCATTCGCCTCTCACCCATCGAGTAGGAACGAAAGTCGGCCGTAGCTCAACGGATAAAAGTTACTCTAGGGATAATATATTCCCCAAGAGCTCACATCGACGGGAAGGTTTGACACGTCGACTGTTCGCCCATGTAAAATTGGAAAACTTTAGACATTTATGAAAATAAGTTTATAAAACAGCCCTTCGAAGATATTAGCTCATACATTATTGGTCTCTCCTACGAAAGTTGAACTTTGGTTGAAGATTATGTCAATTATCATTGAATTAACGAGATTCTTGAATCTTCCTAACTAGAAGCAATGATTCGTCAGTGATAGATAAAACCTCCGGCTATGTACTAATGGTTGAATTACCCTATAAAACGGAAAATAAGACCTCCTATTCGAAATATGGAAAAGAAGAGCGATGTGGCTTTTAGTTCCTAAAATCATGGGATTTCAAATAGGAATTGCCAAACGTTGATTTTTTATTTTTTTTTTTCGATTTTGGATGGCTAGGATCCGTGATTTGAATTTCTTTAATTATTTATTAAATATACACTTCAATTTACAATTTCATAATTTTATTATGGACTTCATCCTAAACTGATTTTATTTTATTGGACAAAAGTGTAAAATTTAAATAATTAATCCACTTTTTTAATTAGAATAATACTTAACCCTTAAATTGTGGTGTTGATTCAAATTTAGATCTTTGTGGAAAATCAAATATCAATTTAAAATATAATTTTATTTTAAAAAATCTTCAATTTATTTTTTTTGAAATTTGTTTTCCGCGTATTTTAAATTCTAAATCTTCATTTGAAGTTAACAAAAACTCAAAAGTAGCATAATAATTGGTTTTTTTAACACTTTCAAAAAGGAATGAAAATTTAATATGTATCAACCCAAAAAATTTGACTTTGTAGATTTTATTTCAATTTCTGTTGAACTTGGAACTTTTGTTTGATTGACACACATTATCAAAACTACTATATTTTTCAAATCCAGATTTTAAATCTTGTTCAACTGTGTTTAGTAATATATTTATAAACTAGTTGGAAGTTACCAACTAAATATTTGATTCAATCTCAAATAATATTAGTTAATTTATTAACATATTTGTAATTTTGCATAATTGTTATTTTACAATAGGATATAATTTACAATACAATACATGTTACATGTTTTAAGTTTTTTTTTTTGAAATAAATGAGCTTATAACAGAAATAGTATATTTACAAAAGTTTTCACCAATATAGTTCTTTCTTCTAAAGTTTCAAAATCAAAATTTGAAAACATTAAAAACTTTGTTTTCAAAATTCCCTCTATTTGAATCAGAAACAATTTTAAAAAATAGATATGCTAAATAGATATTCATTTAGATATTCATTTGACTCCATGAATTTGAACGGAACACCACATGCCCTTAATTTTTTGAATCATAACCATAAACCAACCAACCTTGTTTACTAAAACTAAAATTTATAATTGAGATTATACATTAACAAAATAGTGGGGTAACTTAATATTATTAGTTAATTAAAACAATAATAACATTTTATTTATCACTATTTTATTTATAATCATATTAACAATTTATTTAATATTAACAAATAATAATAAATTACAAAATATTAATTTTATTAGAAAAACACCATTAATATAAAATACTATTAAAGTCTATAAATATTTAATAATAATAAATTATATTTTAACAATGTATATTAATTAATAATAAAAAGTAAAATGGCAATATTTTATAAATAAATTACATAAATAAATAAATTGTAAAATTGTAAAACACAATTAAGTGTAGTGATTCTTGGGTCCCACAAATGGACTCCCATCCCGGAGAGAGATAGAGATTATATAAATAAATAAAAAAAAAATATATATATATATATAAATAATTTTTACTTAATTACTTCCAAAAATATATATTTTTAAAAAAATTAATCCCAAATAAAAAAATTGCGTTAACGAACTCGGCCCCACCTGATTCTCCGTTCTTCTTCCAAGGAAAATCAATCGTCCAGAGTTTCGTCTGCAGAGATACCTGTAGAGTAAGGCCGTACTCTGAAACCACACTCCCAAAATTCCTTCCTCTCCTCTCCGTACTCTGTTCATGGCGGCAATGGAGATGGACCCCTCGTTTCTTCACCACCAGATTCTCCACTTCATTCCCCTCTGAAACCTTCCGCACATCATCTTCTTTCTTACGCCATTGCCGTCGCAGAGTTCACCAACATTTCTAAGCAGCGACGACGCGCAGGTTTTATTCTTGCATGCGCCTTTTTCCTTCTTTGTTTTCCCCTTTTTCAGTTTTGTGAGCGAGTTTGCTGAGAATGTTTTGCGAGTAGTCACTTGCTTGGGATCATCAGGGGACAGGTTTTCTCGGCCAACTTTGTCACTCTTTCTGGTAGCGGTGGCGGTGGCGGCAATGTCTCACGTAGAGAGAGCTTCCAAGGCTTTGACTGCAACCAGATCATTAGGACTTTCTGATGACCAAGTAAAACCAATTTTGAAGGATCTTCTCAAGTTGTATGATGGAAACTGGAAACTCATTGAAGAAGACAACTATCGCACTCTCGTGGATTCTTATTTCGAGCAGAAGGAAAACGAGGTTTCTTTTTTATCTAACTTATAGCTACATTCTGCTTTTACTGCATTAAGCTTTGTAGATGTACTAATTTCATGCTTGATTGATACCAAAAGATCAGATGGCAGATGGCTAGTTTAAGCTTGTTAAATCTGATATCTTCTCCCGTTGGGTATTCAAAAGTCCCCTTAATCTCTGTTTTTTTTTTTTTTGATATCCGTGAGTGTCCGGGCCCCTTTATCTCTTACACCAATTTCTAAAGTTTTTGAGATGCACTACTAGTATTCATTTGATATAAACATAGACACCAAATTTAAGTGAAGCATAGAGTCGAGGTTTGATTCGTAAATATGAACTTGTTTAATCAACGACTTTACAAAGCTTGAGTAAGTTGCTCTGGGCCACTCATCAATGCTGAAACAAGTACTTCTCCAGTTTTTTCTATGCCATACCGTCTCAAAATATTATAGTGCTTTACTTCACACTGTTATTGTGGCAAATGCTGGTTATACTATTTGCGATGAGTGCATGGCCTGTCGAATTTGTTGGCCAGCTCTACTGCAGATTAGATTTCATAGAGAACATGTTAATATGAACAACAGTTTTCTGTCTCTCTTTCTTGTATATTTTAACCCTTCAATAATGTGAGAGACTTTTTTTAATGTGTTCTGAACAGGGGTTAGGAGGAAAGAGGAGCTGTCTTATGGATAAGAAAAAGTCCTCAGTACAACTTAAGAGACCTCATGAAGGAGAACAACAGAATCGGGCATCATCCACTGTTGGTAGCTCAGGCCATAAATTGGCTGTAAGGAAGGGTAAAATTTCTGCAGTAGATGCTGGACAGGGGAATACCAACTTGTCTCAACAATGTTTAAATATTAGATCCAGTGAAAACTTGTCATCTATGAAACCCGTTTCAGTAGTTTATCCAGGTATTTTTTTAATTTTTACTATTGAATGTGCCAATATAATGTTTAAGGAAATTGTGTAAGTAGCTGACTACTGTCATAAATATAGTTAATATCCTTACCAAGTTTGCTTTTTATGATAAACCTATGATTGTGCTCTTAGATGAATCACACATCACGATAGCACAGCTTATTGATTGGTTTCACGTTTTGAACTTTGACTTGGTGTTTAATTAATTGATATAATTAGTGAGGTACGCTGGAAGTCATCATGGCTACTTGCTTGGAAAATTGGTTGGAGATATTGACATGAATATTGAGGATGAAACATGTTACTTAGCTTCTCCATGGAACTTTGCCTAAAACCTGTGTGATTAACCATTTTTTTCCATTAATACCTTTTGACAATCTCCATTTGCTTCTGAGTTTTGCAGTATAAATGTTCAATTTGTGTTCATTTCTTTTAGCTTCTGGTGATTAGAAAAGGTCTTTAGGCTTCATTGCAGTTCTGTCAGTGGTCTTCTTTTGGTTTGGTTTTTCTTCTTTGCAGTTAGCTTTTTGGTTTGGCGATTCTTAGGGTATTGCTCCTTTTGGTCTTGAATTGGAGCTCTTTGGAGGTTTTGAAAATGTCCCATTTTCATTGAACTCAAGGTTCTTGGTTTCCCTTTCGGAGAGGGGAGTTCATTTTGTTTGCTTATTTGGTTGTTTAGCTTCTTCGTAGGGTGCCTCAGCTTGTAGCTTTCCTTGGCATGTTTCTTTAGCATCTGGGATGTTATTAGGTTTAGGTTGTATTCGTGATGGTTTTATTTTTATTTTTTGGTATTTGTATTGGTTATTATTTGTTTTTGTGTTTCGGCTGAGTGTGTTTGATGTATTTTGGTTTTTGGTTGGGAGGTTTTTGTATTTTACCATTGTAAGCTATTTGTAACTTCTGTCAAAAATTTTCATTTTACCAATAATTTTTTGTTTCCTTCTAAAGAATAAGAAAATAAACAGCTCAACTGGAAATGGAGCTGCTGAGTCTTTGTCTTTGGTAGATAGAATCTAGAACAAGAACACCATGACATTTAAATTTAAGCCAAGTGTCACAATCGCACTTTAACGGGACTCGAGAAGCGATCGTGCGGCACTTGCTTTCACCCTCTAGCAAGTCAGCCAATGCGGAAACGAATAGCCGGTGGCACAAAGGCTATATGTCGCAACCTCCACCCCCGTTCTCGGGAAAACGGTTTTGGAAAACGGGGTTAGAGAAAAAGGTTTTGGAAAACGTTTGTAAGCATTTTGGAAGTTGTTGTAAGCTTGAATGCAAGAGAATAGATTAGCGGCAAGACAAGAATACAACGCAATGTAGGGAGGAGACTAGGTGTACCCCCCTAAGGTAGATTATAAAGCATTTTGCCTTTGGCAGGCGTGAACATGCAAAGTGGCGATGAGTCACTCGCCACCAAAAGTACAAGGAAAACTAAATAACAAGCAAAACTAAATACATGGCATGAAAGCATGTGGAAAGAGGTTGTTATGGGCATGCGGCCACGGGCAACAGGCCCTGGACAAGCATGACCATGACATTCTCCCCCACTTAAATGG